TAACTATTTCACAGATGGCTAATATAACTTTATCCCAGAACGCTAATATAGCTATACCCCAGATGACTCACATAACTTTTGGCTTAAATATCTTCTTCCAAATGGCTAAAATAACTATATTCCAAATGGCTAAAATGATTATATCCCAGAAGGCTAATATGATTATACCCCAGAAAGCTAATAAAATAACTATATCCCAGATAACTAATATAACTATATTTCAGAGAGCTAATATAACTATATTCCAAATGGCTAAAATGACTATATCCCAGAAGGCTAATATGACTATCTCCCAGAAAGCTAATATAACTATATTTCAGAGAGCTAATATAACTATATTCCAAATGGCTAAAATGACTATATCCCAGAAAGCTAATATGACTATATCACAGAAAGCTAATATAACTATATTTCAGAGAGCTAATATAACTATATTCCAAATGGCTAAAATGACTATATCCCAGAAAGCTAATATGACCATATCCCAGAAAGCTAATATAACTATATTTCAGAGAGCTAATATAACTATATTCCAAATGGCTAAAATGACTATATCCCAGAAGGCTCATATGACTATATTTCAGAGAGCTAATATAACTATATTCCAAATGGCTAAAATGACTATATCCCAGAAGGCTAATATGAATATATCCCAGAAAGCTAATATAACTATATTTCAGAGAGCTAATATAACTATATTCCAAATTGCTAAAATGACTATATCCCAGAAGGCTAATATGACTATATTTCAGAAAGCTAATATAACTATATTCCAAATGGCTAAAATGACTATATCCCAGAAGGCTAATATGAAAATATCCCAGAAAGCTAATATAACTATATTTCAGAGAGCTAATATAACTATATTCCAAATTGCTAAAATGACTATATCCCAGAAGGCTAATATGACTATATTTCAGAAAGCTAATATAACTATATTCCAAATTGCTAAAATGACTATATCCCAGAAGGCTAATATGACTATATTTCAGAAAGCTAATATAACTATATTCCAGAAGGCTAATATGACTATATTTCAGAAAGCTAATATAACTATATTCCAAATGGCTAAAATGACTATATCCCAGACGGCTAATATGACTATATCCCAGAAAGATAATATAACTATATTCCAGATGGCTAATATAATTATACCCCAGAAGGCTAATATAACTATATCCTAGAAGGCTACTATAACTATATTTCAGAGAGCTAATATAACTATACCCCACAAGGCTAATATACCTAGATTCAAGATGGCTGAAATAACTATATCACAGAAGGCTAATATAACTATATCCCAGAAAACTGAAATAACTACACCCCAAATGGCTGAAATAGCTCTACCCCAGAAGGCAAATATAACTATATTTCAGAAGGCTAAAATACCTAGATTCAAGATGGCTGAAATAACTATATCACAGAAAGCTTAACTGCCTAGATTCAAGATGGCTGAAATAACTATATCACAGAAAGCTTAACTGCCTAGATTCAAGATGGCTGAAATAACTATATCACAGAAAGCTTAACTGCCTAGATTCAAGATGGCTGAAATAACTATATCACAGAAAGCTTAACTACCTAGATTCAAGATGGCTGAAATAACTATATCACAGAAAGCTTAACTACCTAGATTCAAGATGGCTGAAATTACTATATCACAGAAAGCTTAACTACCTAGATTCAAGATGGCTGAAATAACTATATCACAGAAAGCTTAACTACCTAGATTCAAGATGGCTGAAATAACTATATCACAGAAAGCTTAACTACCTAGATTCAAGATGGCTGAAATTACTATATCACAGAAGGCTAATATTACTATATCACAGAAAGCTGAAATACCTAGATTCAAGAGGGCTAAACTACATATCATGAACTTGCAATTCCATATTTCTGCCTTAGCCCATTTGATTATATCCATGCTTCATTAGAGATGATTTAGTTGAATGGAACGGTAATTAGCCTACTGTAAAGAGTTTTTGGAGACTATGATAGCATCGATTTGCACCATTCCAATTTTCAATAAGATGTCTGTATTTCGTTCAATTACACTAAAGACTTAGCATTTTATGACGTTCATTTCACAAACGCCCTGGTAAGTCTTTAACCCTTGCAATAGTAACGTCAAAAAGAGCTAATTTTTAGTGGATTTGCAAGAACTAGAGACATTACGTCTTAAACTTAGAAAGGTTCAAATCGGTGCAGTGCCCCCAAATACACATTAACACTTCAGAAACCTTTTACTATACCTTCATATTGGATACTATACAGATATATCCTGGCTCTTCCTTCCGATATGTCTTATAATTTTATTTATTAATGGATAGATATAAACTACATATTATACAGTATATGATAAAAATACAAAATGATAATTCAATACAAATGAGAATAGAAATGAGCGAGGGAACTGTCATAAATAACGCCTTTCAAACAATACATAACTACGTTTATAAGCAACAGACAATATGAGCAAGGACAAGGCAATGTTAAAGAAACATAGGCTACTCACTTCCGTTCCTTCTTTTTCTTCAGTGCCTTTTGTAAGGCTCGTTTACTGTTTACGGCATCCTTACAAGCCGTTAGCATCACCGACATTTTGGCTGTTTATAATTATTCCAGCCTGTTTAACCACAAATAACCACAGAATGACAATGTAAATAAAGAAACGACTCGGTATTGAGACTGGCACAGTGAATCGGCATCAACAAGCAAGCTACTAATCTGTGTTCAATAGCAGAGACAATAGGTAGTCAAACGTTGCTATGTAACGTCTCTTTACTAAAACTCAATAAATCAATAGGGCTACTTGGAAAATTGTGAAAAGCAGAGAGGAAACCATCACGTATTCTTAGATTATATCAAATATTAAAGCATCTAAATTCTTCCCCTTTTAATAAACCAATAACCGATGATCATGTTTTAAAAAAAGAAACTGAATCATTACAAAATTAGTCGCCATTTTGTTATATGAATTGCCTTTTATTGTGAAACGTCCCACTGCCGACGATTTTTTAAATAACGCGTTCTTGACACGCCATGTCTTCATTTAAATCTCCATATATTATACACGGAATCGTATAGTCCTGGCTACTGATTACGAGTGTTAACTCATTAGGCCTATCTGACATCAAAAGCTCTTACTTGCAAGACAAGAATTAATGCTGAAAATTGCTGACACTAATATATCATTTAATATTATTAAAGAGTGTTACAAATAGTTCGCAACTAAAATAGATGACCTATTATTATAATTCTTGTCACAGAGGGTGGAAATACAGCCACATATGTTCTGGGTGTTTTTTTTATTTCCTGCATAAAACTATTAGAACGGGTTATGTCTACCATCAAAGCGAAAAAATAATCGGGTCAGTCGGACAGTTCTGCTATAATGTCATGGGAGATAATATTTCAGATATTTTATTTTAGAGAGTAAAATATCAATTATAAGGAATGTGAATCTGAGCAATATTAACGAAAAACTATTAAAGAATGTTAACAAAATTACACGAAGCAGGCGTTTCTTGATATAATTGTAATTGTACTAAACGCCTGGTACTAATACTGTTCGAAAAATGGCATTCTTTGATCTTAACTTTACCACGGAAAGTTTACAAAAAACTTCATATAAAGTCTAAACAAAATTGATCTCTAATACAAGATACACACAGTCATGAGTTGCCGTCACAACTTACTGCCATCGTAAATTCGTTGGTAAATCGAAATTTAAAGGGATTGTAGAAAGGTTTTCTACATTTTTTTTATATGTATCAGTGAAACTGACAGCATCATTTCATAATTCCAATTTTCGATCAGACATCTGTGGTTCCAACAATTCCACTTAAACTCAAAATATGCTTTATCACATTATGCCCTTTGCGATTGCCTCTCAGAGCAGTATATAAAGGGAGACAATACACTATTTGTTCAATAATTTTCTATCAATGAAAGATCACTCGAGGAAAAACAAGACGTTATATCTATGCCTCTTATTTCCATGGTGTTGTTTAAAGAACAACAATCGGAATTTGTTGGGGTTTTATTTGGCTTTGAACATAAATAGTCTCCTGAATTGTCAAAACTGCACAACAATCGCATCATTTCTCGCTTCAAATATACCTCACACCAACAATTTCTATTACAATCTTTACTGCATGGTTTCTACCCGTCGTATCACGAATACGGGTTTTGACAGTAAGGCAGTATGACGAATGGGGGTGTGGTTTGGACACGACGGTTTCTCCCCTGCCTGAAAAATGTACGTTTTGTCGTCAAGGTTAATACTGTGTACACATGCTCGATTGGAAATGAAATAATCAAAGACCTTACAAAAGTTATCCGTTTATGACTTCATTTTCTCTCCAATGGAGTCTCAAGAAAGGGCGAATCGTCAAAGTAACGTTCAAACGTTGTAACACTATTACCCATAAGCTTAGCTAAGCAATTTTCTTTTCGATTGAACTGATGAAAATCGTGTCCCTTTAAGATCGATATTCTGCGGTTTGTAAATTACATAACATTGAGTACTTTCATTCAACCTGAAATATACTCCACCACAGAGTTGAAAGAACAATTGAATCATTAATGTCTGAGTAGAGCGAAAGAATTTTGATTTTTTTCTTTTGAAAGAGACATGGAATATCAGCCTCAAAATATTACTGTTAGTTTTGGAATGTCTTTGTGTTGATGAAAATATAATTTTTGTAAGTTTATATTGAAGAGAAACTCATTTCTTTCGTGCAAATTTCGACTCCAAAAAGTCCCAAATTGTGGCTACAAATGGGCCTCTGTAAATAAAAACTGTTTGCTTTGTTCAGAAAATAAACTATATTATCTTCATCGAACAACGTATATTGTACAATGTTCATGTCGGTAAATAAGTACTTAGTAATCATTAAAGCGTGATAACTTTGCCACATTTAAAACAGTGGATTTTCTAAATTCTATGAATCATTGAGGGGCCTGGTACATTAATAGGACTTTGAAGGGGCCTTACACAACCAGCCATTTACAAACTTTAAAGACTTAATTTAATTTAATTTAAGTCGGTCCAACACAAGGAGATTGATCCAACTTCAGTTTTGGGTATCCTACCTATTTTTAGAAACGCAACAAACTGATATAAATGAGTCCATAGTGATGACAGGGCACTTCAATCTGAAGTCAGAGCGATTAAAAAGATAGCATTTAATATTCTTTTAGTAACATAATCGCTTCTGAAGTTTGCTAGCAGTTTGAAGTGACACCCTACATCACATTCTAGGCTAGGTTCTAGGTAGGATAATAGGTTCTATAGCGTATGTAGCGTCGAGAGCTGTCAAAGTCTTTTATTGTACATCAAGTCTAACTAACACAATAACACCACAAAAGGCCTTTTTTCAAGTTCTAATATATTTTTTTAAACGGCAACATCCTAATGTGCACAACTTTTTTTTAAAAAGAAATTACTTCAAACACGACACCATACCAAGTATGAACATATTTCTACAATATCACAGACATTTAAAGGGATTTTCCTTCAGGCATGTCTCCTCATGTCAACACCAATCTGTTACCTTGACAATTTTCAGATCAAAATACCAAGTCGAGTTATTGAATCAAGTGGAAAATACTATTATTGCTAGGAATATTAGATTCACACCAAATAATATTTATTAAAGATTTATAGTTTCACTCGGAACTAATAAGGCAACGAAATCTTCAGCCAAAAATAAACAATGTGTATTTTTTATTTTGGAAAATTGTTTTGAACAATGTGCCTAACTGAAATAAATGTTTCAAATATTTTATGAGTAATTTAAGGGTAAATACTTCTCAAGAGCAATATGCACAATATCCAAAGCACTGTAATAATATATTGAAAGTTTCAACTAACAAATAACTTTCAAAACTTACTTTTCTTTTTCCTTTTTCTTTATTGCTCGTTCTATGGCATTTTTCTTGGAAGATCTACAGGCTGATAATATAACCGACATTATTCATAGACTAATCCGTACAGTTCCACCGTCAAACACAAACTGATCTGCCTTCACCACGCACTTGGAAAAACAAGCCTAAATAAACAGATCAAATAGCAAAACGTTCAATAATCCGACACGATATTGGTGATTGTCTACCAAAGTCAACAACGTTTCTTCTTTACTAATCAATATATTCGTTTGGTTTTGTGAAAGTACACACT